CAGGGGGGCTTGCCCCACTGCTGGGGTAAAAGAAAATCCGGGGGGTTACAGGGGGGCATGCCCATAATTTTTACCCATAATTTGATATTTTACAGTTAGATTTGAAATTGTCTAGAAAATAATTGATTTGCGACAGTTTTAGTGGCTTTATGTGTGATCTGCAGCAAACAGTACAGCAGCAGTTTGACCCCTGAAACAGTGCATCTGTGTGCGGTAGTGAAAGTAAAAATTTACCGTCAGTTTCTGTTCTCCATTGTTTCCACAAACGAATTTCAGGTCATTTAAATAAATATAGATTTCCAGATCTATAGATCTATATCTCTAGATTCTCTACATCTAGATCCAGGGTGGATAGCCTGTAATTAATTGCCTCTTCTCATAACTATCGAAAATAGGTTGTACTATCCCCTCTACCGCGTAAGTTACTGTTACAATTACAGAGTTACACCACCGCGGGTAACAGACCTGAAGCTATGTTATGAATACAAACTTGAACAAGTTATGAATCTTTTCAAAAACCAACATAAACAAGCAAATTACACACTCACCTACACAAAACAATCCCCGCGAGAGAAATTAACGTCCAATACAGGTACGAAAACACTGTTTCTGTGTGGGCCTATTCAATTTCTTATCGCCTTTCGCCTGGCTGGGCCCAGAAGGAAGTACAACTGTAGGTGTCTTTCTGTATCTGAATCCCAGTTTATTTTTATGAATAGTAGTTGAGTTTATTATGCAGATATATTATTGTGTATTGTGCCTCTTTCAAATTTAAGCAGATATAAAGCTTCAAAACTTATTTTTACTTCAATTTGTTTGAAAATAACACCAAATTTTATTTAGATTAGAACATCATGTCGAATATCTTGGAGTGGCATAAGAACTAATAACGACACCGTAAAAAGAAATAATTTTAAAAGCTAAATGGAATAGCTTTTAAAACAAAATAAAATCATTTTTCATCTAGCTAGTAATTTATGTAGCAAAAGCTTACATTAAGACAAAAAAGTATCTTAGCTTAAATTGTTCATAATATCAAATTGTTTTATGCAACTGTCTGTTATGAAAATAATGTTCAAGTTTTTTTCGATTTTCTTTCTTTTTGTAAAACAACAACTAAGATCTATTTTAGGTGTATAGGAAATCAAGAGAGCAGTCAAAACATACCAGTAAAGTGGTTGTGACCACTGTTATCCTCCAGAATCAAATGGCAGGACTAAAATATTTTATTTTATCGATTCCCCTGCCCTGCCTGACTTCCTTGCCTCCTTGCCTGCTTGCCGCTGCGAAGGCAAGATATCCTAGTCCTAGAGGTAATGAATAAAGGCTTGACCACTTGCTGTGGGGCAAACTTGCCTGTGTGTTTGTGCGATGAGCTGTGAAGTGAATGTGATGAGTGAAACAGAAACCGCGGGATTGAGAGAACCATTGTCATTTACTTTAGTTTTAGTCTGTAGATCTGGGCCTCAGCCTCATCAGTCCATAATTAAAGATCTGTCTCATTTCATTTGTCACACTGAGTTCTGCAATGTCAATTTAAGTTAAACTTCTTGACTTCTCACATAATTTGACATCTAAATCTAGATCTATATTATTTCCTTTTTTATTCATGTCTTTATTTACTTTATATGCGAAGTCATCGGAGTGACTAGATTAGATAGA